ATTAAGGGCTTTTGCGTGAGCCAGCCTCCTCCAACCACAAACAAGACATTTTCTAATAATCCAAAATATATTAGACCACACGAATCCGGCAAGTTATAAAATTTAACCCACACACGCAACAGAGTTGGAAAACAACAACAACAACAATGCTTAAATAAATATTTGCTACGTGTCCTCAAGAGGGCCCAAAGGAATAATGCCCTTCAATTGTGAGATGTGAAGAATAGTCCAATGGAACAACTTATTTTGGATGCCCTGTTTTATGAGTCAGCCAGGCAGACAGCTAGTCAGTTCGTCAGCCATGTTAATAAATGCTTTTGAAACACACACAAAAGCAACAACCACAAAAACATATTTTAGAATTTATGAAAAGCAAAGCATTTATGACAGACAGACTACTAAACTGCTTACACCGAACCGAAAATTATCATAACAACAGCCACAAATGCCTAGTTTGGTATTGCGAATAGTTTCCTTATTTTCTATTTGTAAAGCGTTTTGTAAGCCAGACGGTTTTCCCGCAGAACCCCAAACAAACATGAAAACAACAACAAAAACGTAAATTTGTTTTTAAAAAATACTTGTTTTTGTTTTCTTCAATGTTTTGTTAACACTTTTTCTTTTGTTCAGCTTTGAAGTAAAGGATGATTATGAGGAGGACGTTTTCGACGTTAAGGATAAAGGAAAGGAAGAGGAGCAAGGCATCAAATCAGTTTTAGCCAGTGTTTAGTGTTATTGTTGTTGTTCCTCGCATTTGTTTTTCTTCTTCTTTTTCTTTATAAATCAACTGTAAGACAACACTTCCACCATCCAGACAAGTCTCAACAATGTCGGGCAGACGCATGCGTGACATGAATACAAAATGACAGCTGTTTCCACCTTTTTTTCTACGTCGTCGTTTTCTTCTTCTGGTGGTTGTGCTGCTGCTGCTGCCGTTGTTGATCATTCAGAACCAAGTTCTTTTTTTTGCTGCTAACAAAAAATATAAATAAAAATAATAATAATAACAATGCCAAAAGTGAAACCCCAAACACGCATCATTCTGCAAAATTCTTAACAGGAATGCAAAGTTTTGTTATTATTATTGTTGTCGTGGTCGTTATTGCTGTTTGTAAATGAATGAAAATATCCCTTGTGCCAAAAATTAAGTGAAAAGAGTTCGAATCGACAAAGATGACTTTTATTGCACCCTACAAGGGAAAGAAAAAACATGTTAGAAAGTATCAGTCAGTTTTGCCGACAGATGTAAGCCCCTCGCCAATGTCCGTATTAAAACAAATTTTGACTTGTATTCTGATTATTAAAATGTTGACCCTTTATTGGGATGTTACCAAAGGAGTGAATCAATATTTTCCATTTCGTATCTTACCTGAGACAGATATATATATACAACAACATGTCAGGTTTGGACAATATCGATTTATGAAGTTCCATATACAGTGGACCGATGTATTTTATTTCGTCCAATCTAATAAAATTTTGAAGAAAATCGAACATTAACTTCCAATTTAATACGAAGCAAAAATTTGTTCCTTTTGTGTTCCAAGAGTGGCCGATATATTCCAAATTTACATCAGACCTCTGGATAAGAGGAATATTAAGATACTCCATCAACCTCTGACTTGTTTTGCAAGTTATGAGAAATAAAGTCATTAAAAATTGTGTGTGGAGGTACCAAAAACGGGTTATGAATGTTTTGTGATTCAAAACTTTGATCCCTTTGTAGGAGAGGGATTAGAAGGACACAATAGATCTTGTGTTCGTAGAAGCATTGGGATATGTGCAATTTAAGAGAATTGGATGTATTGAGATGTGCCGATTTTGAAAGAATTCGGATGCTTAGTTAGTATTTCATGAGAGTTTCGGTTATTCAAAATGCTAACCATTTGTGGGTGAGATACCAGAAGGAGTAGACCGATTTATCGCGGTTTAGTGGAAATGTTCCTATTTTCTTACATAAAAGATAGGATCTAGTTTACCCGCTTAGTATTGTCCGATGGCTGCCCAAATTTTATGAGAATTTCGGTTATTCAAAATGCTAACCCTTTGTGGGGGAGGTACCAGAATGAGTAGACCGATTTATTGCGGTTTAGAGGAAATTTTCGTATTTTCTTACATAAAAGTTAGGGTCTAGTTTACCCGCTTAGTATTGTCCGATGGCTGCCCAAATTGGTAGACTTCTGCCCAGTCTCTAACTCTACCTCCGTGTAAATTTCCGGGTCGATTGATTCATAATGTGTCCTATAGAGCAACTGCAAAATCAGGAAAATTTTCTGTTTTTGGTCCATTTCAACCCCAAAAAACAAAAGGTTACTATTCTGCCCCTAATCCCACTTAAATTTTCAATTTCGTGAGGATCGGGCCATGTTTACGATCTTTAAGTTGATTACAAATTAACATGGACGGACGGACATACATAGTTAGATCGAGTCAGCTCGGCGAGATAGGAAGATCCATATATACTTTCCTATGTGGAAAACCATAATTTTTGGCCCAATCGAACTTATAATAACCGCAACACATAGTGTTGCAGGATATAAATATTCAACCCTGGAACGAAATATACAGCCTGAGTGAAATATGGAGTCCTTGAATTTTTTCAACCAAAGAACTAAACATGAAGTAAGTCTGGACAATTTCAGCTACCTATCCTCTAAAATAATGTTCGAGAAATGTCTTGTAGACATTCGGGTAAGAGTATAAAAATCAGAGTATAAAAATCATAGAATTAAATTCGTTGGAAGCAAGCGGAAGCACTCATGGAAGCACAAAAAATAAAACGAGCAAACTTTATTTTTTGGTTTGGCTCGAATATGGGCGGACATGCTTATTTGTTTTAGAGCAGGACCAAAATTCGTTCGTAAACGAGCAGATTTTACTCTTCCCGAACATCATTTCATTTTTTGTCATACCGTTGTTGTATGTTTTATGTATGTGTATCTTTTCAAACCGCAGCATCAAACGAAACAAAACCAAACATGTGTTGTTGCTTTTGTACAGAAAATCCACCTGCATCTAACTCCTGCTGTTGTACTCTTTTTTGATTTTGCACATTTCCCACAGTTCACAGCAACACCAGAACTTAATTGCTGTTACACACACAAATTAGGTACAAAAAAATTGTTTTCCATTCGATTTCACTCTAAGAGCCCACTCTCTATTTCGGACAATTCTGCTCCCACTATAATTTTTCAATCAAGAGTGACTCGGGTGCGCTTTCACTCAAAGGAAAAAAAGTGAAGAGTAAACTACGAATAAAACTCCCACTCCTAGAGCATTTCCGCTATCAAGCAAGTTTCGCCACAGAGTGCAAACGAGCAAATCTATGCTCTCATAAAAATTAAGTAACCTTAATTCAAACGCATTTATTTAAAATTGTTCTATGTCCTTTCGCGGGAACTATTTCATTTAAAATGCATTCAAAATAGAAGATGTGTATGTCAGGATGGTCCATGAAGAGTTGGAGAACCATGTCTATATTTTGGAAGAAATAATCGAAATAATTAAATTGATATATGAAGACTTGTAAATTCTGATCCAATTTAAGAATTTCGATTTTATTATATATTTGGAGATTCTGTTGGAACAAAGGCGATTTCAATAACTCTTACTTCAAAGAGTAGCCTTCAGAAATCCCCTAGAAACCATTTAATATATAGAAGTCCTTAAGGCGTTTAGAAATCCCTTAGAAGGCATTTTATGTGTGGAGGTTCTATCTACCATTTCAAAGATTATCTATGCATACATGTCCTTAGAAAGAATTTCTATTTATGGAAGCCCTTTGAAGGTATCCTATATCTAAAATTCATTTAAAATTCATGTTTTTAAATGTCCTTAGAAAGGTCTTCAATGTGGAAATGTCATTTAAAAGGTATTCTACATATTGAGGTCCTTCTTGCATGTCTCGCTTAAAACTTATTGTTGTGAGTAATATAGGACACTTTTTACCTAATTTGCACCAATTTTAATTTGAAAATGTTAAGAAATATTGGACGTAGCCAATTTTCAATACCAATCGTTCTAGACAATACAATGTAGGCTCTTTCCAGTTTTCAACAGGCAGATGTATGACGTTGAATCGACTTAAGATATTGTGCTGATCGGGAATATACATTATAGGGACTCTGATTAATATATTATGATGACCAATATGCAAAATTGTCTTCTTTCGTTCCTTTATGGCCAAAAAGGGTAAACTGTTAAGTTAGGATAACTATTAAAGTTTAAAACTTGAATTCGAAATAAAGAATGAATATTAAATTACTGGAGTCGACAACTCAAACTACGCCATCAGGAAAATTGTTCGACAACGAAAACTCAGATCAGTACCTTACACCAAGCTCTACCACTGAATAATTTTAGATTTATAAAATCTATTTACGATCCAACTAGTTGAAGTTCATGACATGTATCATTAAAATAAAAATTTCTGAGCTCTAGAACTAAATATCATTCCTGTGGTGTACATATTACGAATGTGAGGGACTTTAACACAATATCAGATGAAACATATATCTGAACAGATTTTCACAAAATTTGACATATTTGCTTCTAGGCTGAATTCGCTCAGATGTGCCGAATTCCATTCCCTTTGGACGAATATTACACATATGGCGCACAATAAAATTAAAATCGAACGAAGATATATTTGGAAGTTATATTCAAATTTTGACACAATACCCAGAACACAATGTGGTGTAGGGTATAAAAACATTTTAAAGATGGCGTTATTGTTAAAATCACTCTCCTTACAAAGATTTGAACTAAAACTACCATAAACACATTCTACGTTACATACAAATGTAGGGTACCCGAATCCAGTTAATCAAAAAACGCAATAAAATAAAGCTGAAATGTGTTTTTAATTTTAAATATTACTTTTTAATTTAACATATTTTTTGTTCCTTTTTTCTTTATGAGAAATTTCATTTAATTTTTTTATTAACATTTGCATTCCCCTCTTCTCTATCGATTTCTGTTTTTTTTTTTTTCGGCGACAGGTGACCGACACAAATGACAATCCACCGGCATTTGATGTGCCCGTTTATTCATTTGATATACCCGAGAACGCCCCACGTGGTTATCAGGTTGGCATCATAACTGCCACAGATCCAGATTTGGGCAATAATGCTGTGGTCACGTACACTGTCATATCGGAGTGGGCCAACGATGTGTTCAGCTTGAATCCACAAACGGGCGTTCTGACGTTAACAGCCCGTTTGGATTATGAAGAGGTAAGTGAATGTATCCGATGTTGGTGATGGATGATTTTTTTGTTTTTTTCATTTGGAATTTATGTGGAATTTTATTTGAAACGAGAATAAAAGATGTATTATGAGAGGAAGAAATCCGTGTCAGAAACTGAAAATGTAAATTAACAAAAAAAACCAAGGAATTTTTGAATTTGAAGCAGAGATTTTTTACACATCTTAATTCTTAAATTTAATTCCAATTTCAAAATCGGTTATAAATAGAAGCTTTAGTAACAAGTTAATTTTAATTATTATTATTTATTTTTTAATATTATTATTATTATTATTATTATTATTATTATTATTATTATTATTATTATTATTATTATTATTATTATTATTATTATTATTATTATTATTATTATTATTATTATTATTATTATTATTATTATTATTATTATTATTATTATTATTATTATTATTATTATTATTATTATTATTATTATTATTATTATTATTATTATTATTATTATTATTATTATTATTATTATTATTATTATTATTATTATTATTATTATTATTATTATTATTATTATTATTATTATTATTATTATTATTATTATTATTATATTATTATTATTATTATTATTATTATTATTATTATTATTATTATTATTATTATTATTATTATTATTATTATTATTATTATTATTATTATTATTATTATTATTATTATTATTATTATTATTATTATTATTATTATTATTATTATTATTATTATTATATTATTATTATTATTATTATTATTATTATTATTTATTTTTTTGTGTACGAAAATTCTTTCTCCAAATTCTCCTCCAAAATTCTTTCTTCCTGTTTAGTCCTAATAAATCGCTTATATGCACCTTTCTAAATCGCTTATATGCAAAATAAAATTTTTAAAACCCCATTACAATTTGTTTAATTATTTATTTTATTCGCTTTATTTACCATCAATCCCATACAGATACAACATTACATTCTGCTCGTGCAAGCCCAGGACAATGGCCAGCCAAGTTTATCCAATGCCATAACGGTGTACTGTAATGTTATGGACCTGAACGATAATCCGCCAGTGTTTGATCCCATGAGCTATTCAATGGAGATTTATGAGAATGTTTCAATTGGAACACCTGTTGTGACGGTAATGGCCACAGATATTGATTCAGGTATGTATATTATGATGACGATGATGATGATGATCCATGACCACAAATAAAACAAACTTTTGGAATAAGGATGGAGTTTCTTTTTAAGGAATGAGATTTCAAGTTTGGAGGCAAGCAAAAATTATGATTTGCTTTTACACATATGCAAGTAATGCTCGTTGTAACAGAGAAATCATTTTTTTGTATTGTCCTTTATTTATGAGCAATCGATCGTTATGATCGTTACAATGTAAGAGAGGACTCTTGATTTTTTTTTTTTGTTTATTCAAAGTTTATTTGACCATTTTAATTCTAGCCGTTTTTTTTTTTTGATCTATGCCGTCATAAATTTCCGTGAAATATTTGCCATACCAATGTGGCCAAATTGCTTGTTTTGACACTCCCGATATAATCAGAGTTCTAATGAATTAGTAAAAGTTGTCTGGAGGCCATCAGAGAAAATGATTCAGAAATATTTTTGCTTTTAGGTCGTTTTAATTCGGATTATCTCTGGAATGTAAAGAAAATAAGTTAAATAGTAAAAGTCGGTTTTGCCGACAGATGTATACCCCCAGCCTTGAGTTATGATTATTCAAACTGTTGACCCTTTATGGGGTAGGTTCCGAAGGAGTGGGTCAATATTGTCCATTTCGTACCTGACCTAAGTCCGGTATAAATATTACAATTCACCAGATTTTTCCTATATTCACTAAATCTTCACCTTTTTTGAGATATGTCATCATTTTCGTAAAAAGTTGATATATGCTATATATGGTACCTATAGTCAAACGCCATAATTTTTACTTTTTTTTTAAATTTATTGAATGTCGGAAATAGCATCAAATTTTAGAATAGATTTGTTCGAATTGGTCACCTTTGGTACGAATTATGGCCTTCAAAGGGCCAATGAAACCGTCACACGTTGCCCGAATTTTGCTCTGCGGTATTTTGGCCCATTCCCGGCGAAGCGCTTGCTTGAGGTGATAGTGCAAACCTTGCTTTCCAAAATACTCCAGACACAATAGTCCAAAGGATTGGTATCCGGAGATTTTGGTGGCCATTGTGCGCTTGTGATAGCTTCTATTATTCAAAGTTTTAGCCTTTTTTTGGAGGAGGTACCCAAAGGAGTGGGACGATATCTACCTTCTTCATAGCAGATCTTGTTTCAGTAAAAATGTTGATATATGTGAGAATCGGTTACTCAATTCGCATTTTATGATAATTTTTGTTATTCAAAATGTTGACCCTTTGTGGGGGAGGTACCAGAAGATTTTTATGTTAATAAAAATATTGGAATGTATGAAATTTTAGAAGAATTCGAGGTTCGATTCGCGTTCTATAATCGTTTTGGTTATTCAAAGTGTTATCCTTTTGTGGAAGAGGTACCCAAAGAAGTAGTCCGATATATAACATCTTCACATCAGATCTTGTGTTAATAAAAATAGTGGGATGTATAAAATTGAAAACAATCTGACTCTTATTTTACATTTTAAAAGAGTTATAATTATTCTAAATTTTGACCCTTTGTATGTGAGGTACTCGATTGAATGGGTCAGTATTGTCCATTTTTGCCCCTGAGATTTGCAAAATTTGCACAGAATCGAATGATCCTTTCTATTAAATATTGAGTTAAATATTTTTCTTTGAAAATATTAAGCTTTTGTGGGGGAAAGTAACGGATGGTGTGGACCGATATGGCCCATCTCTGAACTCGATCTAAGTTTGAGAATAATATTACCATTTACCAAGTTTGGATCAAATCGGATGCTCCCTGAAAGAGTTAACTTCTGCACAGACCGACGGACGGATACCCTTAGATCAACTCAAAATGTCCTGAAACAGATTTCGTCTAAAGAGACCTAAAAAAAAAACTGTTACTTCAATGAGGCACGGTTTGGCCATATCAAATGATATACAGAGTAAAATGATATACAAAGCACAGATTTGCTCGTTTTCACTCGGGAAGTGAAATTTGCTAGCGAGCAGAATTTCTCGAAGAGTGGCAGTTTTGTACGAAGTGTACACTACATTCTTTTGTTTTTTGTGGGAGCGCTCCCGAGTCACTCTTGTTCGAAAAATTAGAGAGCAGAATCGCTCAAAATATAGTGAGAGTTTGATTTAAGAGTAAAATCAAGTGGAAATTTGTTTTCCCAATTTGTGTTCTTCTGGTATAAGAGCAAACCGGGTTTGATGTTGCTGTGAACTGTGGGATGGGGAGATGATCGTGTGCTAAAGCAACTGCAGTATCATATCAGCCTAAAGTTCTGGTATTAAAATCTGAATATACCAAGGATAAGAAACAGCCACAAGGCCTCAATTTGCCTTGTTCTAATTTCAAATATTTTTAGAAAAGTATACCCTAAAAATGGCTTGCCATCTTTCTACAATTCTTGCCATAGTTTCATCACTGGTAAAAACTTTTTCACATTTCATAGCTGTTAAAAAGGGGGATAAATATCTAGTAATTGCATACAAGAATTTATCCAGCGTTTTATTTTCCATTACGCCAGCAATGATGTACAAGCCCATTTCAAGGTGTGCTCTGTAGCCGTGGTAATGAGACAACAGTTATTCCGGTTGTTGTTTTTAGTTTTCTCTAACCACAAAAGTGGCCGCCACAAAATTAATGTTCCACCAAAACTAGAAAAGAACATTTACCCTAGAAAAGAACACAAAAAATTGACCGATTGACCGACTAAAACCATTCCTTATAAAAAAAACACTCTAATAAAGATGAAGCTGAGACAAGAAGAACAAAATAAAAACAACAACAGCATTTTCAATAAAACAGCCAAGAGGTAGCAAAGCGAAAGTCTTATTAATGTTAATACCCTACAGCAGGGCATGTGCTGTATTAAAAGACTGCAATTTTAATCCACCTTCATACTTCATATCCAACTTAGAAAATATTAAAATAGACATTTTTAGCTCTTACCGACAGCCCGTATTTCGTATCCAAAAAGTACTAATTATACCGAAAATCCTGTCGTATGCCACGCCCATAAAACAATTATTATCCCCATACAAAGGTTCAAAAAAGTTATTCGTGATGGAATTCAGGCGTGATAGCTTGATTTCTTTATGTTTGACTGGAAAACCACAAGTGGCTGTCGTTAGAGCACTCCAGCATTAAAATATGAATGAATCTTTTGTATCTTGTACCATTGCTCGTTACCGTGATACTGGTAGCGTAGCTCGACGTCAAGGAAGTGGACAGAAGAAAACAGCAACATCAGCAGAAATGGTTTGAAAAGTAAAGAAGCGACTTGATCGAAACCCGCGTCGCTGTGGCCGAAAAACGGCTCGGGGTCTGAACATATCGCAATATTCCATTCGGCAAATATTGAAAATTGAGCTCGGGGTGAATCCATTGAAATTTTAAAAAGTGCAAGAACTTACACCCCAACCTAAAGAATATAGACTCAAAAGAGTTGCTTCGCTTGGCCGAAAGTGTGAACTGCCGAATTTGGTTTTCTCCGGTGAGAAAACATTGTTGTCGTTGTCTAACCGTGGGCACGCAAACATTTTGGCCGCAGACCATGGACATTCCAATAGGACTCAGCACGCGCCACCCAAGAATGGTTACAAAATGAGGTTTCTCGCTTCATTTCCAGCGCAAAATGGCCACCAAAATATCCAGATACCAATCCGTTGGACTATTGTGTCTGGAGTATTTTGGAAAGCAAGGTTAGTACTAAGAAATACGAAAGTGTCGATCACCTCGAGCAAGCGCTTCCCTGGGAATGGGCCAAAATACCGCAGAGCAACATTCGGGCAGCGTGTGACATTCATTGGCCGTTTGAAGGGCATAATTCGTGCCAAAGGTGACCAATTCGAACAAATCTAAACTTATTCTAAAATTTGATGCTATTTCCGACATTTCTTGCTTTCATTCAATAAAATTAAATTTAATAAAATATTAAATTTAAAAAAATAAAATGTAAAAATTATGGCGTTTGACTTTGTTGAAGTTTTTTTATCTCACTCTGTATTTCCAAATAACCACATTTTAAATACATTCCTCCCAAACTTGAAAAAAAAATTGAAAGATTATGCCTCTATCCGCTCCTATAATTCCAAATGGTACCAAATTTAGTGTTTTCATACTTTAATTGCATTTATTATTCGAATTTAGTACCATTCAGTACATATTTCCAAAACCACCTTCAAATCTCAACCTTAAACATTAGCAGTGACCCCAATATCAAAAATTCAAATTCCAAATCTATCCTTTCACATTTAATTATTTCGTACAAATTTAGTGAATTTTAGTACTTTACACTTACGAGTATAATTCTAATTTCCAACAAGCCTTCAGTACATCTATCCTATACCCCACCACTGACCCTCATTTTAAATCTCAGAATACTGTGGGAAAAAATAGATGATATTTTCCTAACCTCTTCTATATTTTTGTACTTTTAATATTTTTAAAAGATGAAAATCAAAATATTCCAACCTCCAGAATATTTTCTTCATAAGCTTACCTTGATTCCAATTTCTCAAAATGTATTACATTTTTTTCACATTTTTAAATCACTATATATTAAACATGGTAGGGTATACAAAATTCAACTCTGCTGCTCCAGCCAACACCATTCCCCCACCATTTTATTTAATGATATTTTAATATCGACTCGACAAGACCTTTTCTGAGTGTTGGTTGCTTGGCTTTCAAATTTTATTTAGGTGAGTTGGAACAAAGCAAAAAACACAACAAAATTTGCCTAAGCATTGAATCGCCACCGAATCGAGAAGGAGTCAAGAAATCAATATAAACTAGGCACGATTTATAGCTGACACCTTTTCTTCCCAGTTAGTACTACTCCTGCCTCCTCATCGTCATCTCCCGCCGTACATCATTCTCAACGAATGTGATAATGAATGTTAAATTGAATGAAATCTATTTTTTATGTGCTGAATACAGTAGTTGTTGTCGTTGTTGTTGTGTTTTCTTTTGTTCTCCTCAACATTAACAACATATTTCTAATGTTGTCTAGATTTACCGGTGGGTTAGGCGA